TACTCTTACGTACGGCACCCTCGTTAATGTCTAGTTTCTGCAACCGCATATTCCTCACCTTTGCCCAACTCGCAAGATATTTCTTCCCCGATGGTATCCCACTATCTACTTAATCACAGCTTGCTCTACCAATGGGTTCCCTAAATATCCTCACCCTGAATGTCAGGGTCTTAATGTCGCGCAGAAGCGCAGACAAAGCCTTCCGTTCTTTTACTCCCATAATGCCCACATAGTCTGCCTACAGGAGACACACTTCACTCCTACCTCTATTCCCAAGTTTTTTTGGCCCCCATTACCCGCAGGTATACGCGGCCTCTGCTACTACTAAGCGCAGGGGTGTTTTTAATTGCTCTTCACCATACTTACACCCTTCAAGTTTATTCACTGAAATTAGAGATCCAGAGGGTCGTTACCTTCTAAACTTGTTGGGCAATTGCTGGATTTTGAGTCACCATTGCCACTTATTATGCTCCAAACCAGGTTCCTCTGCCATTTCTTTCCCATTTCTTCTCAGTTATTGATCATCATAACGAGGCACGGCTCATAGTCTGTGGAGACTCTTATTGTATACTATACCCTTTTCTAGACAACTCCCCCGCAATCCCCCTCTCCGCACAAACCCCCAAACACTCCTTCCAATCCATTCTGCAACAGTACTCGCTGGTTGATTCTTGGAGGGAATCCAATCCTACTAAATGCCAGTACACTTTTTAACTCCCATCCACCCAAATTCTTTTCAAGAAATCGATCATATTTTTATGACCGCCAGTTCTTCCCCCCCGTATTTTGTTCTTCCGATATCCTTCCGATTCCATGGTCGGATCACTGTGCAGTTATCACCACCATTGCCTCTCTAGCTCCTTCTCCCCCTGATCCCTCTTGGACATCATGAACGCCTGCTGGCCGATGCCCAGCTCATTGCACAGAGATAGCAGCTGAGCTCAAAGAGTATCTCTCCTTAAATCAAACCCCTGAGATCTCCCCCCTCCTATTATGGGAAGCTCACAAACCAGTACTCCCCCCCTTAGCCGCGGTATTCTGTATCAGTAAAGCCTCCTTCCTGAGCAGAGAAAGGAGGCAGAAACGCCTCCTCCTTGAACAAGCATACGACCAATCCCTAGTGCCTTTAAAATCCCCCACCCCTGCTAACAAAGAAGCCCTTGAGCACTCTGGACTAGCCCTGGATATCTCTTCCCTACGGACCAAGCCAAGCTCTCCATTCGCAGATCTTGACACAAATTTTACACTAAAGCCAATAAGCCTGGACACTCTTCTTGCTCTCCTCCGTAAACTAGACCAAACTGTTAAGACCCATACGGTTATGGATCTCATCTGCACATTTCACCAGCAACCCGGAACGGATCCTGCAAACTTTCTACAAGCACCTCTCGCATCTCTACTCTGCCTCCGCAACCTTTGACTCTTCCCATGCCGAAAGCCTTTTTTCGCTTCCCTTCCTTTTCCGAAATTGGCCAAAAATCATCTTACAGCACTAGAACGACCCGTCACTACAGTCGAAACCTTTAAATGCTATTAATTCCTGAAGTCCCGCAAACGCCCAGGACCTGACGGCTTTTCTGCCACGTACTATAAAAAGTTTGCCCCCCATTCTCAGGCACACCTCTCATGACAAATGCGTTCAATGCCATACTCTCCGGTGTCATACCTTTAACCCAGATACAGTGCAAGCCAACATCTCTATGATTTCTAAGCCGAACTCGGATGATACACAATGGTCTAACTTCCGACCAATTTCCCTCCTTAACGTAGACGTTAAAACTGTTTTAGCCAAAATGCTATCTACTCATCTCAATGCATGCATTGGATCCCTGATCCACAATGATCAGGTTGGTTTCATACCAACTAGGCAAGCAGGAGACAACGTCCGACTGCATCCCTTTTTAGCACATTTAGCCAAATCCCCGCAATATTCCCACATGCTTTTTGTCCATTGGACATACGGAAGGCGTTGACACAGTCTCATGGCCATTACTTACACTACATTCTGCGCCGATGGAGCTTTGGCCCACATTTCTTAACCTGGATCTTTTCTCTCTACCAGGGCCCATTTGGCCAGAATTAAATACCATAGGACACATCGACCCGCTCATTTCCCAATTTTTTGTGGCACCCAGGCAAGGTTGTCCCCTATCCCCTTCTGCTTTTCACACTAGCTATAGAACCGCTGACACTATTGATTAGAACCGATCCAGATATCCGCGGACTTGAGATAGGAGGCACCTCGCATAAACTGCTTATTTGCAGATGACGTCTTACTTTTCCCTCACCTCTCCCTTAACATCTACACCTACCCTACTTCGCCTACTTGATAGGTTTGGTGCGATCTCTGGCCTTCAAATTAATCCCCGGAAATCGTTGGCGCTTAAATATCTCGCTCCCACCACCTAACGAACTTACCCACCTAAAACTGATCTTGCCGTTCTCATGGTCGCAAGACTCCGTTCCCTTTTGGGTATAAAACTCACCTCACATATCTCAGGTCTTTATACCGCTAACTACATCCCTATGCTGGCTCATCTAACGGCACTTATGACTAAATGGTCCTCCCTTCCTCTAGCTTGGCTAGGCAGGATAGCAATCGTGAAGATGTCGATCCTTCCCCAAAATCCTCTATCTTTTCAGAGATCTCCCAATCCCAGTACCCGCCCACTACCTTCGTGTTTTGCAGCGCCGCATTTTCTTCCTACATTTGGGGCAAAGTCCTCCCCCCGTGTCTCCCGCTCTACTCTATACCGATCTAAACTCTATGGTGGTCTGGGCCTCCCTAAGATCAGCAAATACTACCAAGCGGCGCATATGGCACAACTGCCAAAGTATCACGCTACCTACGAAACTCAGCAGTGGGTCATTCTCGAATCCATCGAATGCGACCCCTTTTCTACAGCAAACTTTTTTGGCTGAGACGCATTGACCGCTGCACAATTGAGAATCCCATCACTTCACATTTTTTGTCTCTTTGGGATAAACTGAAGTCTCGTTACCTTCTACAATCACTCCATAATCCCCTTCTTTTCCTACCTTTGTAATCCAGCCTTCCCCCCAGCCTGCTCTGCACCACATTTCTTTACTCGATGGTCTACGGCTGGTCTCACTCAGACCCGACACTTCATGCTCAGAAATAAATTTAGATCTTTTACCTCACTATGTGAGTCCCATAACCTCCCCACCTCTGAGTTATTCAGGTATCTGCAGTTGAAACATTTCTTTACTCCGTTCACAATGGCTGCCAACCCAGTTTCCACTTTGTCTCCTTTTGAGCGAGCATGTCTCAGAGACCCTCATAGACGAGGCCTCATATCCTATATATATTCCCTTCTTACAACCTCAACCGTACCTCCATTACCCCCCTCGTATACGGAAAAATGGGAAGCAGATTTAGGCCGGCAAATTGACCCATCAGATTGGGACCTCATTTGGTCCAATACCAAAGAATCGTCGCAGAATATTGTGGCCCTGGAGACCAATTACAAAGTCCTCACCCGCTGGTACCTTGTCCCAACTAGAATTGCAAAATTTACCCCTGATTACCCCCCAGTTTGTTTCAGAGGCTGCGCAGACCTGGGAACATTTTTTCATATTTGTTGGGATTGTCCAATCGTCCAAGCTTTTTGGGCGGAGGTTTTTAGAATACGATCCACACTCAGTGCCATAACCCTCCAACCAAGTCCACTAGTCACGCTTCTCGACCACCGAACATCACAAAGGCAAATTTTAACCTCATTCTTTCTACAAGTCACCACTGCGGCCAAGCAGGTTATCGCTAAGTCATGGAAGTCTCCCTCACTGAGTATGACTGCAGTTATGATTATGGTCACTCAGGCGATGATCCACGCAAAAATATAAGCCACTATCCTAGATTCCATCCCCAAGTTTAAAAAGATTTGGAATCCCTGGGTGGAGCATTTCCTCCAATCCAATTTTGACGACTCCCTTCTCAACCCGTAATCTATGCCTTCTGCTTTACTGGGACCATCCCTTGGTGATATTGCGGTCATCTGGCTATTTTCCTTCTCCCCTTTCCTTGGAGCCGTACGCCCTATTCCTTCCTTACTCCCCCACCCTTCTTGTTAGGCCTTAATCGATAGTTGATGGTCACTCATGTTAGTGCTGCCTGACCTTGTATTAATGGGAACTCTTATCGTTCATCTACTGTACACCTCCAATGTCCCATATGGTTACTTATAACTTGTCCTGTGTTACATTAAATAAATAAAAATATTTAAACAAGAAGGATTTTGAGCTTTATTCACTTATTTCAACACACTGCTATTATTTAGAACATAATTGTATACTGTATATATATATATCCTTTCATATATTTCATTGCCTAATTTATTTGGATGCATGACATGTTCATTTGGCCACATTATGCACCCCATGTGTACACATTTATGTGCACACCATTCCTTTTCGCACTTTCGCCTTTTGGGATTCTCTTTTTTGTTTTTGATGCGTTTTTTTTTTGTTTTTTGATGCGTTACTTTTAATATATTGTTTCTGCTGTTTTGATATATTCCTGTCTGTATATGTATGGTTTTTGTGATTTTTTTGTACTTTATCCCAAGTAGACATGTGTTTTTTTTTATATTATTTAAATTTTGATCATTTACAAATGCAGTTTCTAAGCCCATATCTTCTTGGGATATTTATTCGCTTTTATCTGTGTTTGTATATGCTATTTCATTTTTCATTTCTAATTTTTTCATAATTATTTTTATTCATAATTTTTTTTGTTATTCCACTTCATTTTTCTTTTCTTCCTTCCTTTTTCTCTGATATCACTGTTTTTGATACAATGATGTTATTACAATGTACTAGTATGTGTATCCTCAGGATTCAGGAGTGCTGATTAGGACGGATGTTCGTTATTACCTAATACCTATATAAGACATAAGCACTTTTATTGTTTTCTTTGTTATGATTAATCACGAGATCATGTGAAACACGTTAACAGGTCCTGTATTCATGTCCTGGTGTTTTGTTTGTCCTATGGATTAATACATACTGTAGACACTATATTCATCTATCCTCTGGTGTGCGGCTGACACTTCTTGTTATACCACGTCACCCCTCTGTCCAAATATACCACATCCACCTTCCCCCTCTGTCCAAGTATACCACGTCCACTGCCCCCCCCTGTCCAAGTATACCACGTCCACTGCCACCCCTCTGTCCAAGTATACCACGTCCACTGCCACCCCTCTGTCCAAGCATACCACGTCCACCGCCACCCCTCTGTCCAAGCATACCACGTCCACCGCCACCCCTCTGTCCAAGTATACCACGTCCACAGCCACCCCTCTGTCCAAGTATACCACGTCCACAGCCACCCCTCTGTCCAAGCATACCACGTCCACTGCCACCCCTCTGTCCAAGTATACCACATCCACTGCCACCCCTCTGTCCAAGTATACCACGTCCACCACCCCTCCGTCCAGGTATACTACGTCCACCGCCACCCCTCTGTCCAAGTATACTATGTTCACTGCCACCCCTCTGTCCAAGTATACCATGTCCACCACCACCACCACCACATCCACTGCCACCCCTCTGTCCAAGTATACCACATCCACAGCCACCCCTCTGTCCAAGTATACCACGTCCACCCCTCTGTCCAAGTATACCACATCCACAGCCACCCCTCTATCCAAGTATACCACGTGCACCCCTCTGTCCAAGTATACCACATCCACAGCCACCCCTCTGTCCAAGTATACCACATCCGCTGCTACCCCTCTGTCTAAGTATACCATGTCCACCCCTCTGTCCAAGTATACCATGTCCCCTGCCACCCCTAGGTCCAAGTATACCACATCCACAGCCACCCCTCTGTCCAAGTATACCACATCCACAGCCACCCCTCTGTCCAAGTATACCATGTCCACCACCACCACTTTGTCTAAGTATACCACGTCCACCACCCCTCCGTCCAGGTATACTACGTCCACCGCCACCCCTCTGTCCAAGTATACTATGTTCACTGCCACCCCTCTGTCTAAGTATACCAAATCCACTGCCACTCCTCTAAGTATACCACATCCACAGCAACTCCTCTGTCCAAGTATGCTACAACCACCACCACCCCTCTATCCAAGTATACCATGTCCACAGCCAGCCCTCTGTCCAAGTATACCACATCGTGAATCCATGCTGTCTGTGGCTTACAATATTGTTTCCAGCAAGAACTCATCTATTTGGTCTTTTATAAAACTCTCCAGTATCTTCCCAACTATAGAAGTTACACTAACAGGTCTATAATCACTTGTGAAAGATTTTGACCCCTTTATAAATATTGGCCCCTGTGACGGAGGAAAGGCAGGACAGAACACACAGAGTAGATGGCAGATGCACAAAGCTTTATTGAGACAAACAGATGGCAGTCCTTCAATACAGGGGGTGGCCGAGAGGGTGGATTTGCCACTAGAGGGTAACGAGGGGGCCCCACCCACTTATAGTCCACTAGGAGAGCCAAGGTGGTGTCCCTGTAACAGGGGTAGTCCGACACAGGAGGGGGGTGCGAGGGGTCACCACCGCAACAGTTCAGGTAACACAGTGGGGAAGCAGGTACTCATGGATCCAACAGGGTGCCTGGTCTCCCAGGGGTAGAAGCAGAACGCAGGTACCTGTGGAGTCCGGACCAGGTGGGTGGCCTCTGGCTCTGGCAGATGAGCTGTGGTAGTCTCTCCCCCTTCTATGGGGTCTCTGGCAATAAGCAGGAAGGCTGGGATAGTCTCTCCCCCCTTCTGTGGGGCCTCTCGCAATCACAGGTAGGCTTTCTCTGCCTGTCTCTTCCCTCCTGTGGGGTCTCTGTGAGGCTGGGGATGGGCTTGCAAAGTCTAGTCACAAAGGTCTCACCGGAGCTTGAGATCCTTTGATGACTTCACAATGGAATGAAGCCGGAGCGCCCAGCACCAGCCTCTTAAACTGCTGCAGGACGCTCCCCGGTCGCCTTGGCAACCGGGAGGGGGGAAGGGAATACTAGACCTCAGGGAGAATCAGGCTGGTGACAGGGACATCCTGGGAAGCAGGGATGATGTCTGCATAGATGAAAAGCAAGTTGGGAGGTGTGCAGAGAGCTCCCAGCCAGCTGGCCGGGAGGGAGGGGGTCCAGAGTAATTTGATTAGGCCATTGAATTAGGCCATTTGGTCTAGTGACACAGGGGACAATTGGAACAATACAGAGCAGGAAGCTGAGGGCATGTGATACAAGGCATTAATAAGGGGATTAATAATTGGCAGGCTTCCATACCGTGACACTGTTGGGGATGCAACAGCATGTACTATATACAGTATTGTGTGTTAATATCACTTGACCAGTAGATGGCACTGTACACTAAGGTTACCAGTTGTACATATCTGTAAAACTTGTTGGTTCTCTCTCTTCTCTCTCTCTCTCTTTACAACCAAGATGTCTGCTGTTACAGTTTGCTGAAATCTCTTTTGTATGTTTGCAACTTAAGCCACACAAGTAAACCAAGTTCTGCCTCATCACAAGCTACTAGTGTCTTCTCTAACACATAACCAACAGGTTATGGGCCCAGCTCCAGACACTGGAAAAAGGAGAACTACAAGCAAGTAAGTGCTGTATTTACAATCCTACCAAATCCTGTGTGAGGAAACAAGAGCTGTATCCAATTCACTGAAAGATGGCAAGTGCTTCAGATATGAAGTTTACAATAGCAAAGCTCAACAATACCAACTACCACCTATGGAAGTTTAAGCTTGAAATGCTGTTATCCAAAGATGACTTGTGGCCGGTACTAGATACACACAGACCCAATGACAACCCGGAAGAATGGGACAGAAAAAACAGGCAAGCAAAAGCAGTCATAAGCCTGTTAGTGGAGGACGATCAACTCATTCATATAAGGAATGAACACACAGCTAAAGGTATGTGGACTGCATTACAAACACTGCATGAACATGCAAACCTAAACAGTAAACTATATCTGCTGCACAAACTGTATAAGATGAGGCTGGAAAATGGGCAGGAAATGGGGTTGTGAACATGTAAATGCTATGCTAGAAATTGTGAACCAGCTGGTGCAATAGGTGAAGAAATGAAAGACAATCATGTAATGGCACTACTGCTATGCAGCCTTCCAGAATCATACAGTGCCCTTATAAATACTCTAGAAATTAGACCGGAAACTGAACTGACGCTAGAATATGTTAAGGGAAAATTAATGGATGAATACAGCAGAAGAAAGGAAAATTTGCATAGTGAAGAGAACGAGAGACCAGAGGCAGCTCTGAAGGTGCATGAAGGCATAAGACAAAGCAAAGAAACCAGGGTATGTTTTCGCTGCAAAAAGGCCGGTCACCTGAAAAAGAACTGTTCAATCTGGAAAGCTGAGCAGCGAAAGCGGGAGCTACCCACAAGAGAAAGAGCTAAAGCGGGTCATGAAAGAAAATGAAAGTGCATCATGGAGTGGTACTTTTAAAGTGACTCAGAATAGTCCCTCACATGGATGGTACATTGATTCAGGGGCAACAAGTCACATGACAAGCGACGAGACATTCTTCACAGAAATTGATTTTAGTGTAAAAGATAAAGTCTTCCTAGCCAATGGGAAAAGTATTACAGCGGAAGGTAATGGTCAGGGATTTCTGAACTGCAAAACGCCATCAGGGGGCAAGCAGAGCATCCTTGTAAAGAATGTTCTATATGTTCCAAGCCTAGAAGGAAGCCTCCTATCAGTTAAAACCCTTGCAAGCAATGGACTCACTGTCCAGTTCAGAGGTGATGAATGCACAATTCAAAATGGAAAGCAAATTCTAGCAAGAGGAAGATTAAATGAACATCTGTACAAACTCGTCACCGAAAGTGAGAAGGCCAATGCGGCAACTCATAACCCACATGACAAGTGCATCCACCTGTGGCATAGAAGACTGGGGCATCGAAACCCAGAAGCTATAAAGGACTTTGCAAAGAGAGGTCTATCAGAAGACATGAAAATATTGCCTTGCCACACACTCAGCAAGTGCATGTGTTGCATCAAAGCAAAGGCCACCCGAACCCCTCTTCCACAGACCAGTCAGAGTAAAACCATTAAACCCATGGAACTGATACACAGTGATGTGTGCGGACCAATGAAAACCATCACATCTGGCGGGGAACAGATATTTACTGACTTTCATCGACGATTATTCCAGGTACACAATAACGTATCTAATGAAGCACAAAAGTGAGACATTAGAAAAACTTCAAGAGTTTGTAGCTATGACAAGCAACAAGTTTCAAAGGAAACCTGGAATAATACGCACTGACAATGGAGGGGAATATATGAATAAAGAGATGGAATCATACCTAAAGAAACAAGGTATTATACACCAAACAACTGTACCATACACTCCTGAGCAAAACGGTGTAGCGGAAAGAAAGAATCGCACTCTTGTAGAAATGACAAGATGTATGATTACGGACGCTGGCTTACCTAACAAATACTGGGGAGAAGCAATAATGACTGCAACATATCTACAAAACAGGCTCCCATCAAAAGCTATTGAGAGTACACCATATGAAATGTGGAATGGATCAAAACCTAACGTAGGACACATCAGAGTGTTTGGCTGTAAAGCATATGCCCACATTCCAAGTCAGAAACGCTCCAAGTTGGAGAACAAAGTCATAGAAGGCATTCTGGTGGGCTACAGTGAGCAGAGTAAGGGATATAGAATCCTTTGTCCAAAGACCAACAAGGTCACAGTAAGCCGCAGTGTTTATTTTGATGAAAGTGAAGCATCAGATAATACAATTCTTGAAAAATATGGAGAGGATTTACACGCTGAATCGGCAAGAGACACTGACCCATGCGAAGCAGGACAAGAACCAGAACAAGAAGTGGAACTTACAATCAAGGATCCAATAGAACCCACTGAACAACAAGAAATCAGAAGATCCTCACGAATGACAAAAGGGACACCACCCCGCAGGTTATCATACGCTGCTAAAACACATCAAACACAGGAGCCAACATCCTGGGAAGACATAGAAACTTTGCTGAGAAAGGAAGCCGATCAGTGGAGAAAAGCAGCTGAAGAAGAAATAAAATCACTTCAAGAAAATAAAACTTGGTCACTAACAGAACTCCCTCCTGGTCGCAAAACCATCAGAAGCAAATGGACTTTAAAGTGAAATATGATACAGAAGGAAACATCTATAGATACAAAGCAAGATTAGTTTCCAAGGGATACTCCCAGAAATTTGGAGATTACGATGAGACATTTGCTCCAGTTGTGAAACATTCTACCATAAGAACACTCCTTAGTATTGCTGCCGGAAAGGGAATGCAAGTAAAGCACTTAGATGTCAAAACTGCCTTTTTGTATGGAGACATCAAGGAGGATCTGTACATGGAACAGCCACCAGGATTTGAGAAAGAAAAGAACCTTGTATGCAAACTGCAAAAGAGCATCTATGGGCTCAAGCAAGCGGCGAGAGCATGGAATGAAAAAGTGAACGAAATACTCAGAAAAGAAGGGTTCTCAAAAAGTAAAGCAGATCCATGTCTGTATTCAAAGAATCAAGAGAACAAATGGACTTACATCCTAATATACGTCGATGACATCTTGACGTGTTTTGAACAAGAAGGGGACTATGACCAAATAGTTCACAAACTGAAACAAAATTTTGAAATTAAAGAGTTGGGGAATAATACTCACTACCTAGGAATTCAAATAGAGCGGGAAGAGGATGGAAGCTGTCTTCTTAACCAAAGTCAGAAAATTACAGAAATGTTAGAACAGTTTCAAATGCAAGATGCAAAGGAGGCGAAAACACCAATGGAACCAGATTATCCAAAAACAAGGGAACGTTATTGTTTTCTACAAAAGAGACTAAATGTCATATAATTATGCACATGCCGTTGAGAAGGGGTGTTGGGAATGCAACAGCATGTACTATAATGTACTGTATATAGTGTTTCTGTGTTAATATCACTTGACCAGTAGATGGCACTATACACTAAGGTCACTAGTTGTGCATATGGCTCTTCCTCTCTCCTCTCTATCTTCAGGAAGTAATATGTCTGCTGAGAAATGTGCTCTGTATGTTTGTAACTTAAGCCACACAAGTAAAGTCTGAATTCTTCCTCATCACTACCAGTGTCTTCTATAACACATAACCAACATTCTCCCCCATGTGAGATCTCTGATGTTTCTGCAGACTGAACGTCTGTGAAAAACTTTTTCACACTCCGGACAAAAATATGGCTTCTCCCCAGTGTGAGATCTTTGATGTCTGACAAGTTTTGATTTTTCTACAAAACATTTTCTACAAAACAAGCATGTGTTCAGCCGAGACAAATTCTTGCCGTATTTAATAAACTCAGTGACTTCCTATAATCGTCAGCTCCAACTAGTGGCCATAATGAGGTATTAGTTTCAAAATGCCTCAATCAGGAAAAAACTTCAATACCGCATTATGGCCACTAGATGGAGCCAATCATCATAGGAAATCCCTGTACAAAAAGACCAACATGTGACATGGCTGAATGAATTCTGGTCATATTAGTAGAAATATTTTCCGGTGGATCCCCTCTACCCAGACCCCATATGTAGACATAGAACAACAAGCTGTGTTCCCTCTCGTGCCGCACTCCTCCAACCACCCAAACCACACAGAAGCAAAGGGAAATAATGAGGGAAAGTTCCCCCCTAGTTTGGGGCGGAGTTCTCCTTCCCTCCTGTTGGGGGATGGGAGAAGGATGGACTGAAGACAGAGAGATGCTTCGGGGTCACCACTGTTCTGTAGAGCCTTGAAATGAAGGACATCAACTTCAGAAGTTCTTGTTGTCTGTGTAAAGTTCCCCGATAACGAGATCTGGGCTCTCCCGGCTTCTAGCTCTGTAACCCGCTATATCATTATCAGGAAACGCAACTCCGACACCCAAGAAGGGCTGAAGTTGTGTCCTTCATTTCCAGGATCTACTGACCACTCTGCACCCCGACATTTACTGCACTTCATCCATGTTTTTGGGGGCCTCTCATTTCCTTATAAACTGTTTCCTTCCATGATGAAGATCCGCCATGGAGTATATCTGAGGTGTATATCAGGGTGTGCTTCTTCCCCACATGACAGCTGGGATGTCCAGCAACATTCATCTAGAAGACATTTCCCGCACTCAAGGCACTAATACACCTCCAGGGTTGTCTGGGACCCCTGATGTACAGGAAGACAGGACTTCAGTGAGGAACATTTCCCTCACTCAGGACAGGAATACGACTTCTCCCCCGTTTGAGATCTCTGATGTTTGGAAAGACCGGACTTCTGTGAAAACATTTCCCACACACTCAGGACAGGAATACGGCTTCTCCCCTGTGTGAGATCTCTGATGTGTGTGAAGACTGGACTTCGCTAAAAAAACATTTCCCGCACTCAGGACAGGAATACGGTTTCAACCCTGTGTGAGATCTCTGATGTGTGTGAAGACTGGACTTGTCTGAAAAACATTTCCTGCACTCTGGACAGGAAAACAGCTTTTCTCCTGTGTGAGATTTCTGATGTTTGTAAAGTCCGGACTTCTGTGAAAAACAAGTTCTGCACTCTGGACAGGAATAATGGCTTCTCCCCTGTGTGAGATCTCTGATGTGTGTGCAGTCTGGACTTCACTGAAAAACATTTCCCACACTCAGAACAGGAATACGGCTGCTCCCCTGTGTGAGATCTCTGATGTATGTGAAGACTGGACTTGTCTGAAAAACATTTCCCACACTCAAAACAGGAATACGGCTTCTCCCCTGTGTGAGATCTCTGATGTGTGTGAAGACTGGACTTGTCTGAAAAACATTTCCCACACTCTAGACAGGAATACGGCTTCTCTCCTGTGTGAGATCTCTGATGTTTGTAAAGACCGGACTTATCAAAAAAAAATTTCTCGCACTCAGAACAGGAATACGGCTTCTCCCCTGTGTGAGATCTCTGATGTATGTAAAAGACTGGACTTCAGTGAAAAACATTTTCCACACTCTGGACAGGAATAAGGCTTCTCTCCTGTGTGAGATCTCTGATGTTTGTAAAGACCGGACTTATCAAAAAAACATTTCTCGCACTCAGGACAGGAATAAGGCTTCTCCCCTGTGTGAGATCTCTGATGAATGTGAAGACTGGACTTCTGTGAAAAACATTTTCCGCACTCTGGACAGGAATACGGCTTTCCTCCTGCGTGAGATCTCTGATCTGTGTAAAGATGGGACTTCTGTGAAAAAAACATTTCCTGAACTTTGGACAGGAAAACGACTTCTCTGCCATGTGACATCTCTGATGTCTGTAAAGATGGGACTTCTGTGAAAAACATTTCCGGCACTCAGAACAGGAATACAGCTTCTCCCCTTTGTGCAATCTCTGATGTGTGTAAAGAATGGACTTCTGTGAAAAACATTTCCCGCACTCAGGACAGGAATACGGCTTCTCCCCTGTGTGAGATCTCTGATGTCTGTAAAGACTGGACTTCACTGAAAAACATTTCCCGCACTCAGGACAGGAATACGGCTTCTCCCCTGTGTGAGATCTTTTATGCACATTAAGCTGGGATTATAGAACATAAACCCTTCCCGCACTCAGTACAGGAGAGCTCTTCCCTGTTGGATGGCCGGCCCGGTCCCGCACAGTCTGAGGTTCCTCAGGATACGAGGAATCCGATGGTCCATCTACACTGGGTGGTGCCGGATGGACATTGGAGGGAGCCGGGTTTTCTCCTGGACTATACTGTGTGATGTCCTCATCTTCTACTTTCCAGTCTGGAGACAAAGTGAGACAATCCTCGCAGGTTTTCCTCATCTCCCGGCCATGGACTAAAATACAAAGACAAAGAGGATTACTAGACAGGAGCTGATTGCTTCCCCCAAACCCAGGACTCTGCCCACATCAGGCATCTTGGTCTCTGAGGAACTTACAATTCCACCCTCAAGGGAACTAGGAAATGGCTTCTCTGATCTCCTACCAGGTCATTTCTTTATTCATGGACCTTAGTCAGAGAGTGAGGAAACAACCAGAACTGTCTTTTATAGGAGGGACAGTGATGAGGGGATTATAGGACGAGGGTCCCCACCCCCTCTATCACTCATCGCCATCTTCCCAACACAAGAAGTACTGCACTTCCTTATTTACTCCATGATTTAGTCATGAAGAACAGCGGGGCTGAGCCCCACCAGAGGTCAGAGAGTGAGGATGGGGGAGAACAACCAAGATGAAGACTGGACTCATCCTGAAGACCACCATCATTGGGGTATTGACTCCTCCCTCATTATCACTTTCTGTTTAAGGGTCCAAAGTTGGAGGATGTTATCACATTATTATCACCATGTAAAAGTCTGTGCTCCAATCACATCATCCGATATAAAATGTCCAGCTGGTAGGAAATGGGTGTAACAAAAGAGAATCCATATTATGTGTATATATAGCAGTGGGGGGGGGGGGGAGAGAACAGAAGTCAGGACTATGTAATGTATAATATAGCGTATATAGTGCAGTGCAGGGTCAGGAGTATGTAATGTACAACATAGAGTATATAGTGCAGGGGTCAGGAGTATGTAATGTACAACATGGAGTATATAGTGCAGGGGTCAGGAGTATGTAATGTACAACATGGAGTATATAGTGCAGGGGTCAGGAGTATGTAATGTACAACATAGAGTATATAGTGCAGGGGTCAGGAAAATATAACGTACAATATAAATTATACAGTGTTAGGGTGAGGACTCATAATCTTGGTATTCAGCACTCAGTGGTGGCCTAGATGTCCACATGAGACAAGTTGCAGAGGTCCCACACCGCTGCCTCCCATCTCCTGAGTCTGAATCCATTGTTTCTATGTGTTTATCAGATGATGGGGGATCTAGGTGGATCCTCCGTACTGCTCTCTCCTTTACAATAAAGTCTCCTCTTACCCGGTGATGTGAGGGGCGGCTGATTGTCCATCATGACGTCCTTGTAGAGATCCTTGTGTCCTTCTAAATACTCCCACTCCTCCATGGAGAAATAGACAGTGACACCCTGACACCTTATAGGAAACCTGACACCACACAATGATACAGTCACCATCCAGACACATCCCTTGTCTGTTACTGGAGAATGTCCCAGAATTCCCGCACCGCTCACCTCTCCTGTCAGCAGCTCCATCATCTTCTCTGTGACTTCTAGAATCTTCTGTGTCTTCTGTCTTGTAGGGATCAGGGGATGGAGGTGGGGGGATGGTGATGGGATTCTGGATTCTCGAGGATCTTGTGGTCATACGATGAGGTCTCCTTGTGTCATTGTTGGTAATTTCTTTCATGACTCCTGTACAGTTCTGTGTAGGTCTTACCTGTCCATAATGGACAACAAGAGAAGTACTTGGTATAGCAGAGTCCAATGTTTGGTGAAAGGATTGGTGCAAAGCTGAAGGTTTTGGGTTCTGTTAGTCATGATTCCATCAGGTGGTCTTCTGACATTGAGCTGTACAATAGAGATGGTCTGCCTCCCTCACACAAGGGCGCTCAGCTCCTTACTATGGAATTTAGGAGGTTTTTGGATATGCATTTAAACTGAGAAATGGGGGCAGAGATGTCATTGTTTGAGGATCATTTCTGTCCCCAGTAGGATGAAACAAATGTGAGGTTGGTGTTGCTCAGGACGGGGCTGATGGGGTCACTTCAGTTACAGTTTTCTGCTGGTAAACATAAAGCAGTAGATGGGAGTGCTTGTCATATGTCATTGCACTAATGCTCCGAGTTTAGGCAACAAGCTTTGTGAGCTGACAGCTCTTATGTCTCCGGGATTCCTCTATATAGACTCTTTATAATCACAGAGAAGGGGGTTCAACCGGCAGGAGGAAGGACTGGTCCCGATTCCTCTATATAGGCTATTATACTATACTAGAGGTTCACCACAGTAGGGTGGAGGGGAGGTCCCCAGATTCCTCCTATATGTCAGATCCATCACATAGAGGGGAACATCAGTCAAACAACAGAGGAAGGAGTCCCGATTCCCTCTATATAGATCCTGCATTATATCCAACTAGAGAGGGATCCTTCCCGGCAGGAAAAGGTGTCATAGGCAGTCCCCAATACAGGCTGAACATTAGGAGGACTTCTTGATATCACTAGAGATAACTCACATGGCATGGTAGAAGTGAGGGGTCCCAGATCCTATATAAGATCCTATCACTATGAGTGACGTCACCACGCGGGAGGATTAGAGGTCCGAATTCCTCTATAAGATCTATTATAAGCAGCTAGAGAGATGTCACCGGCGGGCACTGAATGGAGTCCCGATACCTCTATATAATCCAGTTTATAGTCCAACCCAAGGCGATCATATTCTAGACCTAGGAGGAAGGAGGTCCGCTGATTCCTCTATATAGGATCTTTATATCACTAGAGGCGTCCACCGGCAGGATGAAGGAGGTCCCGCATCCCTCTATAACAGACCTTTATATCACTAGAGGGGTCACCGCAGGAGGAAAGGAGTCCGATTCCTCTATAAATCTTTTTTTTTCACTGAGGGGGCAAACCCGGGAGGAGGGAAGGGGGTCCCGATTCCCCTATTAGTCTTTTATCATAAGGGGTCACCGGCGGGGGAAGGGGTCCGATTTCTCTATATGATCTTTATATCACTAGAGGGGGCACCAGCAGGGGGAAGAGGCCCGATTCCTTTTTCAGGGCCATTTTGATCCCGAGTTTAGACATTATTGGCGGTGTGTTGAGTTTTTTTGAGGGGACAGCAAATTTCCCGTTATACAAGCTGTACACGACTACGTCACATTGTAAAAAAGTGTCATTTTTCAGGTTTTTCACATGGAAAAAGAGAAACAAATATTTACAAAATGTGAGGGTGGACTCACTTTTGGGGGATACGTGTGTGTTTAAAAAATAATAATAACACACTTGTTACAGTCCGGGGGAGGGGGGACCACTTCTGTAGATATGTATATCATTATTTAGCATTGATAAAATTTTTAAAATTTTTAA